TAACTGCGCCGAAGGGGCCAGTAAACTGTATTAACTGCGCCGAGGGGGCCAGTAAACTGTACTGACTGCGCCGAGGGGGCCAGTAAACTTTACTCACAGGGCTTGGGGGGAGGGGGGGGGAGTATACTGTACTCACTGTGCCAAGGAGGGCAGTAAACTGTACTCAATGCACTGAGGGGGCCAGAAAATTGTACGCACTGCGCCAAAGGGGTCAGTAAACTGTTCTGAGTGCGCTGCGGGGGCCAGGTAACTGTACTCACTACAGCAAGCGGGCTAGTAAACTGTACTCACTGTAGTGAGGGGCCGAGAAATTACACACAGGGCTAAAGGGGTCAATAAACTGTACTGACTGTGTCGAGGAGGCCAGTAACCTGTACTCACTGTGGCAAGGTGGTCAGTAAACAGTACTCACTGCAGTGAGGGGCCAAGAAATTACTCACAGGAAATTACACATAGGGCTAAAGGGGTCAATAAACTGTACTGACTGTGTCGAGGAGGCCAGTAACCTGTACTCACTGTGGCAAGGTGGTCAGTAAACAGTACTCACTGCAGTGAGGGGCCAAGAAATTACTCACAGGAAATTACACATAGGGCTAAAGGGGTCAATAAACTGTACTGACTGTGTCGAGGAGGCCAGTAACCTGTACTCACTGTGGCAAGGTGGTCAGTAAACAGTACTCACTGCAGTGAGGGGCCAAGAAATTACTCACAGGAAATTACACATAGGGCTAAAGGGGTCAATAAACTGTACTGACTGTGTCGAGGAGGCCAGTAACCTGTACTCACTGTGGCAAGGTGGTCAGTAAACAGCACTCACTATGCTGAGAGGGGCCAGTTCAGAATGATTAAAAGCAGCTATTTATGCAGCTGTATACACTGCAGATAGTATGAGCTGTGGACACATTTGCACACCAGCACCCAGGTTATAGATGGTAAGACAACCACAGTCATGCAATAATCACAGGAAGAACTGTAACAGGAAAAGCTAGCTCTGTGTCTTGCAATTTTTGATGACATCTCAAGCCTCAAGTGTTTACAGCTAAAAAATGAATGCTATTAGCTGTTTCAATCAAGGGCTTAACAGAATATGAGTTCCCTGCTCAGCTGACACGGCTGAACGTTCAGGTCGGGTGATGCTCTGTAAGTGAATCGAAAGCCTGTTCAGTGACATACAAGGATAGAGCTAGACATTGCTCTGTAAAGGCACTGTACTTCATTACTGTCAAACCCTGTGACGATGCCTCAACATCCTCATATATCCTACAGGGTTCGCAGACTGTGTGGTCATTTTGCATAAAAATTAAAGTAAAACAGAATAACTAAGGAGAGTTAGTTTGTTATTGCAGTTTCAACATAATGCAGAATGTGGACAGAATTAGATGAAGTAAAAAACAGCTCACTCTGAAGTTCTGCCACCAGGGGGCAGTACAATCATACTTAAAGATCTTCCTGATTAATGACAATTCTAGAGCCCTGCTCATAAAATGCCACAATACCCTCAAAATTCTCACTTATACTAATTTCAAAATCCAAATACTTCCATTATCCATTAACAGACTGTAGCCAACTCAAGATACTGCCATTTAAAAGCACAATTCTGTGACTCAGAATTCAAAATGTCACTAATCTTCAAAGATGTCAGATGTTTTGCTTCTTGTCAAGAATAAAACTCAGTTCTTTTCAGCACAAAACTACACAGCACCACAGATAAAAAAAAATACTAACCTTGAATATCATCCTCATTGCCCAACTATTGTATAAATACTGTTTTGCTGTTGATGCCCCAAACTAACACGAGCAGTTTGAGGCCCATTTCAGGCCAGCCGGGCCCCCGTGCGACTCCCCAAGCTTGACGGTCCCCCCACCCCTCTGGAAGGCAGATGACGATCCCCTGTCTTTAAAGAACCGGTTTTCCTGCTCTCTTACTGCTGGTCTGAGGTCAAACGCAGGCAGCACAGCCCCTCTGTGGGAAACGCTGCAGGATCGCCCTCTTCCCAGGGCTGACATGTTTAGACAGAGGTCCCAGTTGCCCAGCGGAGGGCGGCGAGCTCTAATGAATGGTCCCTGGCGGACGGCCCGCGCGGCACTTGACTCATAATGAAGAAATTGTCATCTGCACCCAACAGCACTGGCAATGTCACGTCTACCCCGGGAGGAGCGTTAAACAGGCCTAATCACTCCAAGAATGTGCTCTTGGTTTGCATGGGGGGGGAGGCAGCCGAATGCACTGGACTTTGAATAAGTGAGGCCCTGGAGAGACTTCAGAGTGTCACGTCTGATGAAAATGGTGACATCCATCTCCCAGATCAATCTCGACAGTGAGAAAGAAAGCTGCCTTTTATGGGAGCGGCCGGGGCAGTGGGAGGGGGGGGCAGGCAGCGTGGTTTACTCGCAGCTGGAGGGCACATCTCGGCCATTACACGAACCGGGGGGGGGGAAAAATTGAAAGCTCAATCAAAAAAGGCCTTTCTTGATCCCTCTTGAGTCTTTACTTCCAGCATGTATTTTTAGGAACACAACACTGAAGCACTTAGAAAATGGAACGTCTGAGACAGAGGCTCATGGGAAAGGAGAGGACGAAAGAACAAAGCGCCATGTTCCCCAGGAAAGCTTGGGAACCTTCTCCATGGTTAATGAAGGTGAACAGACATTAACATCAGCGCGGTTTCACAGATAATTAAAATGTTTTCAGGCACATCGCACGGAATCGCATAAACTCGATTGAGCTGAAGCTATTTTACAGCCCCTGGTTTTATTCTGAGTACTGCTGGATGTCCATCAACGCACGCAGCTTTCTGCAGACGCCCAGCTTTCACATGGAAGCTCCTCCTCCAAGAACAAACTCCTCTGCACTCAAGTTAGCAAAGCCAATGAACATGTACCGTGCAGGTTAAGGGAATGGACTCAGGAGCTCTTTGAGATCCAGGAGGAACCATTTAACCTAAATTACGCTAATAAAACATACAGCTGTATAAACTGGAAAAACAAAGTTCTTGAGGCACGAATGTCAGAAGTGACAATGTGGGTGGAAAGGCAGGCTGGGGTGTGGGGGGGCACCTTTCTCTCCAGCTGCTTTGTGATCATGAGCCTCTCCATGCTGTGCAGGTTACCGGCCTCCACGCACCCGGCTCGGTGGCGCCCCCCTCAGGCTCACCTTTCTTCTCCAGCCGCTTCATATCCATGAGCTTCTCCACGTTGCGTGGATCGCTGAGCCACAGCTGCATGCGGACGAAGGGCTCGCGACCTTTCAGACTCAGCTTGTGCCAGGGTTTGGGCCGAGCCAGCAGGTCCGACACGGAGCCCTGCGTCAGGCCCAGGATGGTCTCCCCGAAGAGGCGCTGCCCTGGAGGACACAAACACCCAGAACGCGAGGCGTCAGGCCCAAGGCAAACAGATCCAGGCCTCACCGAGCCTTCCAGCAGGGGGCAGGCAGAAGGGGGAGACGGCATCAAAAGTGCCTGCTAAATAACAATGAACGTTACCAAGAATGCGGGGATCAGTGTGGCTTACCAGACAGTCCCGCTTTATAGGCGCATGTTGGAATACGGCCCTCTGTTGTGTGTGTTCCCACCGCCCGCCAACACTGGCGTGTCTAAAAAGTGCTAGCATGCGACAGAGCGGCATGCGACAGAGCGGCAACCCTTCCAGCGCCAACGCCGCTTTCTCATCGCTCTACCCGCATTCTGCTCCACGTCACCTCAGCCCCGACTGGACGGGACAAGGACGGGCGACTACGAACTGCACAGAGATTTCAGTCAGATTGCTTCTGGGGCCAAGGCAACTGGATATCAGAGTACTTTTAGAATGCGGGTTCCAGACTGCCTTAATAAAGCAGCACGTCTTTACGCAGCATCTTATTTTACACGACAAAAAAAGCCAAGGGTCAATGTTTAAAGCAGATGGACCATGCAAAAAGAGCGACTGAAACAGATCACACTCTGCGAAGATAGAATAATACTTCTTGGTATGCATAAACTGAAAAAGCCATTTATATTCCCTGGATGTGAAATGTATTGTGCCGCCTTTCGTCTCAAATGAGCCGGGACCACAGTTCAAAATGGCATTTCGATGACTGAGAACTCGACAGGCGGAAACGATTTTCGCAGAGACCTGGATATGGGGCCGGAGATGCAACTCCTCGCATGCTCACCCGGGGGCGATGTTTTGGAAAGTGCAGCTCCCAGGGCTCGGGGAGCGCGGATCCCCCAGCCTACCCCACCGTCCCCCTTTCCCCACACAGACGCTTTGCTAAATTCCCCATGAAAACAGCTTTCTAATCGTTTAACGGAGGTAAACCTCGCTGCAGGGCTCACAAAACATCAGCAGAACGACTTCCTGTCACGTGTGACTGGCTACCCCCCCACTGTGAAGGCCATGCTTCAGCAGAGAAGGGGCCTGCCTACACGTCCTCTGGCTCCTGAGCTGGGACCCCATCCACCTGGGCCCGAGCTGATACACTAGAGCACTAGGCCCCCCCGGCACTGTCTATCCTGTCTAGCTGGAGGGGTTCTCCCCCCCCCGTCACACCAATGAAGAACCTCTCAACATCCTATAACTCGTTCATTAACAAAATTTCACCAGAAAAATAAAGCACAACACTCAATCAGAGATGCTGAGCAGGAATAATCACCTGATTTATTCTGCTCTAAAAGCCGTGGATAAAACGGGGCCGTCAGGCTGTGTCCCCGTGTGCTGACGGGGGCCACAAAGCAGCCTTTGTCAGGCCCCCTTCAGTGGAGGATCTTGCACACAGACGCACTTCAGGCCACTTTTTCGTTGACACTCAGGAGGACCAGCTCCTGTGAAGGCGCTGGCTTGACATAAGGAGTATGGCAGCGCGGACAGGAAGACGGGGTGCGGTTACAAGGCCAAGGACAGATTCCAAGGCCCCACCACTGATAAATCACAGGGCTGTGACAGGGCGAGGGGTGCCGTGCATGCTCTTCAGAACACATAATTACCATATGACCTTCAGATGACCCATTTGTGTAACTATTATGGGATTCACCTTGAACACAAATCTATGTGGCTACAGAGACTTAAGCCAAACAAAATGACTGTTCACCAACATTATTCCGAGTGAGACACAAAGCAGCCCACTTAGGGAGCCCCAAATACGGAGGATCCCGAGGCCACAGCAGCAGGCCAGCATTTCCATTCCGCGTAATCACTAAGTGCTCATCATTTCCCTAATTGGACTAATTTGTCTTTGCTCTCAGTGCTGAGTTTGCGAGTCAGGCCTCATCAGGAGCAGCACTGGAGATGCTCTGCCTTACGCCTGTGATTTATAACTCCCTGGGTACACTGGGGCTTGTTCCAGCTCACTTCTTAACGAATTAGTCATTAAGCGCATCACTTGCACCATTCAAATCATGTCCATTTTTTTTTTGTTTTTAATAAATAAATTAAGTGAAAACCTGCATCTTTGCGTTCCCTTGATTTTTTTTGCCTGGTTTAATACCAATTTAACGAAACAATTGTTAAATTGGTAGCACAAAACCTTGGACCGGATCGGAAATTCCCAAAGACGTTTGAAAGCCACCGTTTTGAGTATTATCCCAGATAAAGAAGCACACAAGGACAGAGAGACCAGCTTGGAAAATCTAGAAATACTAAGACCCACAGAGATGCAGAAGGCACCATGGGGGGAGCGGGAGACAGCCAGGGGGTGCCATGGACTGTCACACTCACCAAGGTTGTTGTCGGTCAGAACCTCCTTGACTTTTTTGGTGATGACGTATGTGTCCAGCTCGGGGGACATGGCCACCATCTCCTGGATGCTGAGGCCTGAGTGGCCAGGGACAGGCAGGGGCGCGGGAGCCAGAGACTCGGGAGGGTCGCTGGGCTCTGAGGCCGGGGGCTGGGTGGCCGGCTCGCCCAGGCTCTTCACGGACTCTTCGGCGGAGCTCAGGGGCGATTCAGGGGCGGGGCTGCAGCTGGCCGAGGTCTTCGGCGTGCTCTCTG